GGTTGTCGCAAAACAGAGTGAAGCTGGGTAACTGAGCCAGCTTCGCTTCCTCCAAGAGTTCGCGAAGGTACAATCCTTCCTTGGTGGCTGAGCAGAGTGCGATATATTCAGCTTCAACTGAGGAGAGAGCGATTAATTCCTGCTTAGTCGACTGCCACGAGATAGGTCCGATAGGCTCGAGGCGGTAGATGTAGCCTGTGCGCGAGCGCCGGTTGTCAGAATCTCCGGCGTGGTCGGCGTCGACGTAGCCGATTAACTTAGGCGTTGTAGTTCCGTTCTTGTAGTAGGTCAAGCCGATCGTTGGAGTGCTAACGAGGTAGTGAAGAGCGCGGTCGAGCTCCGCCATGTGTTCAGCTTCAGGCCTTTTAAGGTAGGTGGCGAGTTGACTTGCAGAGTATGATAGGTCCGGGCGGCAGGTGACAGCCTCGAAGAGAAGGCATCCTAGCTTCCTCTGGTAGTCGCGTATCCCGGCAGGCTTGAGTGGAGTGGAGCCTTCCTTGTGATTTCCTGCCGTGTAGCGGTATGGTGTGGATATGGTAGTTGGTGTGAGCGCGAAGCGTTTGGCGATGGTGTCGGCGTATTTCGCGGCGTTGGGGTAAATCGCGTTATCTTCTTCCTGAATGTTGAGGCCGAGGTACTGCGTGACGGTAGATGAGACTGTGAGCGTGAGATCTTTCTGTAGCTCCACTTCGAACCAGGTAGTGACGTTGTCGGTCGACCCGATGTAGAGTAGATCGTCTACGTAGACTATTAGTAGGATGTAGTCGGTGCCTTTTGTAAGCCGATACATCCCTTGGTCGTGAGGTAGCTGGCGGAATCCTATGCGGATAAGTCTTGCGTGCAGGCACTGTTGCCACAGCCTCGGGGCTTGTTTGATGCCGTAGAGCGACTTCAGCAGTTGACAGACGTGATTAGGTTTTCCGTTGGAGCCATGTGGTAGTTCGACGAAGATTTCTGCGTCGACAGGTGCGTAGAGGAATGCATTGGCGACGTCAATTTGCCGTAGCTTTTTCTTCTTCATGGCGGCGATTGCGAGGAGAATTCGCAGCGAGGTGTGTCGGCTGACCGGGGCGAATGTCTCGGTGAAGTCGCGTCCGTACTCTTGGTCGAAGCCGCGTACAACCCATCGCGCTTTAAACTTGTCGATGGTGCTGTCTGCCTTTGTCTTCACACGGAAGACCCATTTCCCGGTGAGTACTGTCTTATTTCATGCCACGCCGAATGGAACAACTTTCCAGGTGTTCCGTTCTTCCAGTGCTTTCAGCTCCTGGCTTCGCGCCATTTTTCCTTATGCTCCCCCCCTAGAGCCTGCTGAACTGTGATAGGCTCCTTAGGAATCTCCGTGCCATGGACCGCGGTGACGAGGCCGAGTATCTGGAGGCCACTCTGTGTGTAGCGGGGGAGAGTTATGCCCGCGGGATAAGCTGCTTCGTCACCTGATTCTGGGTCAGGTATGAAGTTGGGCCCTATGCGTTCTGCTTCGTTGGTGTTGACTTCTACAGGTGTAACGTAACCGTTCTCAGCGAAGTGGTAAAATACTTCGGCGTTGGCGCTTTCGCGAGGATTTTCGTCATCCATTGGGACGTTGACGGAGCAGTAAGGGAGAGGTCCGGCTTCCTCTGAGGCTTCATCCACGTTCTGCTCGTCCCAGTCAGCTTCGTCTGCTGCCGAGGCGAAGGCTCGGTCACCACAGAAGCCGCCTGTGGGGTCCCGATCTTCTTCCAGGTTGGCAAGGTACGTCGGAAGGGTGAGTCGTTCGTGGATGTCCCATTCGTGCGTGCCAGATGTCTTCGCCAGCTCGATGTTCGGGTGAGCGACGGTATAAGTCGGAGTTGGAGTAGAAGCTAGCGGTGAAGTTTGCGCTTCGATGTACTTCTCGTGGTGTTGGGTTCAGTTGCTGCGCAGGAGTCGGTGGAGTGTCGTCGTCGATTGGAGCCGGTGCAGTTGAAGGACCAGCGATTGGTGTCGATGTTGCCGCTGCTGCTGCCGTTGTTTCTGCTGCTGCCGATGTTGTCTCTGCTGCTGCCGATGTTGTCTCTGCTGCTGCCGGTGTTGTCTCTGCTGCTGCCGAGTGTTGAATCGTTGCTAATGCTCTTGTTCGTTCTGCCTCAGGAATGGTGTGTGAGTACCAGAAGCCTTCGGGACTGAAGTTGGGGTCGAGATCCGGTGGATGTGTCCAGGAGGTGAAGGTGACAATCCCGTCGCTGTCAGCGGTGTCAAGATCTGGGACAAAGTCGAGGACGAAGACGTTATTCTTCAGGACTGCCTTGCCGATGTAGAGACCTCCTCTCCCGTGGTACAACTTGAATTCCTGTGTTGTGCTATCTGCTTCGAGGTGGATGCCTTTCGACATCAGTTGACTGACACTCAGTAAGTTGTAGCCGAATCCCTCCGCAATTAATACTTTTGACATTTGCAGTATCACGTTTGTCTCTCGTGACTGAAGTTGCACCACACCTTGTCGTCGTGTGCGCAGGTTCTGGTTGTTGGCGACGGTGATGACGACTTCGCGTTGAAGTTGGTGTTCGCGCTGAACAAATCGTCCTGAAGAGCACATGTGCTGTCCGCAGCAACTGTCCAAGAACCATGTATCTTTCCCGGACGGCTCGCTTTGAGCGATGGCTGCATACGTCGGATTTGGTTGAAGTGACTCGTGGTGAGGCGTGCTGTTGTCGAGTTGCTCTTCCGGTGAGTAATGCGGTGGTGACTTTGTGATGCAGGAGTCGGTTAGCCGTGCCATGCAGCTGACGATGTTTCTTGTTCCTTGCGCAGGTTGTCCCGTCGATGTTGTTGAGGCTTGTACTTGAGTGGTCGGATTCGCTTGTGTTGAGGCAACTTGATTGCTTGAAGGGCGAAGCGGCCGCTGCGTTGGCGTTGATTGCTGCCGGTTTGGGCAGTGTGTACGGGGGTGACCTGACGTCTTACAAAGGTGACAGAACGGAGGTACTGGTTTCGGTTGGTCCCGATTGTTGTTGTTGTTGTAGCGCCGTTGAGTGTGGAATGCGAATTCGGGCACTAATGACTTCCTCTTGTGTCGTTCTTCTTGCAAGTCCATATCTTGCTGCTCAGCGTGGATCTTGGCGCAGAGTGCTGCTTCTGATATTTTTCCGTGAGCTCGGAGTATGGCGCGAGTGGAGCGCCACTGAGGACCAAGGCCGCCGATGATGACTGTGACGAAGGCGTCTTCTGAAATCGACCCTCCGCATCGAAGGAGTTTGTCGCGCAATTCGCGACAGCGGCTGATATACGCCATCCCCTTTTCGCCTGGTTTCATTTCGACTGTTGTCAGTTGCGCCATTAACCGACTTTGATTGACGCTGTCTGTTGCTTGATACAGGTTCTTCAGGTGGTTGTACGCGAGCTCTGCAGAGTTGCCGTATCCCCGGTAAGACCGTATATTCTGCTGCTGATTCGGAGTGATGTTTCTCAGTAGTATTGTGTACGCCATCATTGACTGATACGTGTACTGTTGCTTGTCGTACTGTGTGCCGTGTGTTGGATATGGCAGGGACCCGTCGAAGAAGCCAAGAATCTGCGCCCCTTCCATCATTAGTTCGAACTCGAATGACCATGTAAAGAAGTCCTTCCCGTCGAAAGGGCTTGACGTTTGCAGTTTTAAGACGTGCGCGAACTGCGACTAAACTTGAAGTGCGTCCAGTGTCTTCTCTTGTCCAGGTGCAGGCTGCGGGTGTGGCATAAAGCTGACGGAGCCGCGCTGGGGCTCGTACGGAGCAAAGGTAGGCTGCTGCTGTTGATTTCCGCGCGCGTAAGATGAGCCATCGAGACTCATGGGTGTCACGTCGTTGTTGTTGTTGCTGTTGTTTGACTGCGCAGGTGCCCCTTGCTGGTGTTGTTCGTAGAAGGACATGAAGGAGAAGAACTTCTCCATCATGCTTGGGTCGAAGCCCGCGGCTTGATTTGCAAGATTTTCGGTAGATGTTGCCCTTGGTCTTGTTGCCGTACCCTCCTCTGTCTGTAGGCCAGAGGCAGGAGGTGGAGTAGGAGTAGTACCGGGAGAGCCGTTAGAGGAGCTTCTCTCCTTCTGCATTGCCATGCCTTGTGATGTTGTGGGTGTCTTGATTGTAGTTGAATTTGTCCTGATAGCTCTCATACCATGTTGGGCTGAGAAAAAGCCCTTAGGATCTTTGTAGGACTAAATTCTTGGTATGACTAATGTAATAGCGGAAGCGTTCAATGAGGAGTTTGTGAACCACCTTGCGCTGGTATGTGAGGGCAAAGTAGATTGATTAAAACAAAGAGATACAAGCTTTTATAAGAGTACAAGGAATACGAAGAGATACAGTTAATAACCGTTTTGCTGTTGCTGTTGCGGTTCGATACAGGAACGACTCGGGCAACTGCTCAATAGCGAGTCAGTTGTTTGTCCTTGCTGTCGCGCTGTACTTGTCAAGTCAAAGGTCGCTGACCTTTGACTTTCGCGTAACCTCCAGCAGTTGCTCAACCTCCGAGGGTTGACTCGCTGATGCTTCGATATGTTTCGCTTCGCTTCTGACTTGGTGTTTCGACACGACAGAGGCGCTTAAGTTACTTGTTTCCAACAATACAAAGGGGGTATAAGTTACATCCCATACCCTCTATAAAACAACTAGACCTAGCTACAGAGTACGCATGCAAATGTATATGTGTACGTTGACCAGGCCCCTAGATTTCAACCTTTTTACGCGGATTCAGCCTTTTTTCAGCCTTTTTTTCTGTACAAAGGCTGATTTTTTAGCCTTTTCCCAAAAAGCTTAGTGATTTTCTAATGGTTTTTAGTGAAAAATGTCATTTTTGGCTGATTTTCAGCGTACATTTGCCAGTGAACTCTGATTTTCCAGCCTACCCCAAGACCAATCTAGGGGCCTGACGTTGACAATAACAGCCATTCTCTATAAGCTTGGGCGCATTAACTTCACCAATGTAATGGAGAGAACCTAATGAGCTCTAGATGATGGTTCTGGCCTCCATTCAACCCCGGCTTGCCATCCTTGAGAGCACCGTCAAGCACACCCCTCCCATCTCCATTCACCGTCAAGCACACCCCTCCCATCTCCATTGCTCAGTGCAACTCCACTTGCACCTTCCCCAGCCTCCCGTTGACCCTGCGCCCCACCCATGCCTGCCTCTGTGTGCTGGGCGGGTGTGCTGCAGTGGGAGAGGCGGCTGCCGTGGGGCGTGGGGGGCGCGGGGGACGACCCCACGTGGTCGCATGAGGGCAGGGCGGGCAGGTGGAGGGGCGGCAGCAGGAGCGGTGGCAGGGACAGGGGGGGCAGATGCAGTGAGGGAGGGGTGGAGGGGGACGTGTGAGAGGCGACATGTGAGTGAGGGTGGAGCGAGGGCGAGTGGAGGGAGGAGTCCAGGCCGATGAGGTGGAGGGGGGAGGGAGGCGACGCAATCAGCTGCCACTCGCCACTGCCACTGCCACTGCCGCTGCCACCTGTGCAGTCGCCCCACTCATGCAATCCCGGTGACAGGTGGCCATGAGAGGGTGGGTGCGCCGCCAGGCTGGGCAGCGAGCTGCCAGCGTTGCCACCAGCCGCAGCCTGAGGATGCTGCGCCCCTCCTGTCACCTGCTCTCCTCTGTGCCCCTCGCCATGCCCCTCGCCATGCCCCTCGCCATGCCCCTCGCCATGCCCCTCGCCATGCCCCTCGCCATGCCCCTCGCCGTGCCCCTCGCCATGCCCCTCGCCATGCCCCTCGCCATACCCCTCGCCATGCCCCTCGCCATACCCCTCGCCATGCCCCTCGCCATGCCCCTCGCCATACCCCTCGCCATGCCCCTCGCCATGCCCCTCGCCATGCCCCTCGCCATGCCCCTCGCCATGCCCCTCGCCATGCCCCTCGCCATGCCCCTCGCCATGCCCCTCGCCATGCCCCTCGCCATGCCCCTCGCCATGCCCCTCGCCATGCCCCTCGCCATGCCCCTCGCCATGCCCCTCGCCATGCCCCTCGCCATGCCCCTCGCCATGCCCCTCGCCATGCCCCTCGCCATGCCCCTCGCCATGCCCCTCGCCATGCCCCTCGCCATGCCCCTCGCCATGCCCCTCGCCATGCCCCTCGCCATGCCCCTCGCCATGCCCCTCGCCATGCCCCGGTGTGCCCTGCAGCTCTGCCATCCACTGCTCCATGCCGCACATGCCGTGAGCCACAAGGTCGGCACTGCCACACGTGGTGTGAGCGGCAAGAGGGCGCTGACTGGCATGCGCAGTGCACGGGGTGTGGAGGCCATGAGGGCCGTGCGGAGCATGTGCGGCCTCAGCTGCAGCCGCAGCCTCAGGCTCCGCCTCCATGGCAGCGTGCACGCTGGCACGACCGGCTGCTTTCATGCCGTTGCCCCCCTGCCCTCCTCCAAAATTCCCTCCTTCCTCCTCAGTATGCCACTGCGGATGACCGTCACCATGCATGCTAACATGCATGTCTGCATGCCATTGCACCACCTCCTCATCCCACTCGCCTTCCTTCATGCCCTCCCCTTTGTTCATGCTCTCCCCACTTGGCCCCACTCTTCCTCCTCCTCCTCCTCCTCCTCCTCCTCCTCCTCCTCCTCCTCCTCCTCCTCCTCCTCCTCCTCCTCCTCCGTGTGTCACAGCATATCCCGCAAGCACACTCACGTGCCCTGCTGCCCGCTGCTGCTCTGCGCTGTCCCCTTGCATCTCGCAGCCGTACCGAGCCACACTGCTTGACAAGGGCCGTGGGGGCAGCATGAAAGTGGGGTGGGATGGCACGGGCATGAGAGAGGGTGACGGCTGCAGTGCAGCATTGGGATGGGCCCAAGCAGCCTCACAAACAGACGCAGAATCCTGCTGCTGCTGCTGCTGCTGCATGCGAGACGGCTGTGCCCCTTGCCCAACACGTGTCTCCCACCTTTCAGGGTGCTCGCGCGCTCGCTCCCACTCACCACCTTGCATGCCATCCTTCCCCTCTCCTCCCCCCGCCTCTCCTCCTCTCACCACCTCCATGCCTTGACGCTCCTCTCCTGCCTCCCACGCACTCACCTCCCTGCACACTTCCCCCATCGCCCCCTGCTTTACCTTCTCCTCCCCTCTATCCCCTTCCCTCACCCCTCCCCCTCCCCGCCTGCCCTCTCCCCCCATCTGCCCCTTCCTTGTCCTGGATTTGGATTTGCTCCGCATTGCCTCCCCACCTGCCTTCGCCATACCCGCCTCGCCTGCCCCCGCCTCACCCCCACTGTGCTTCGCCCTCTTCCCCCGGCCCCCATGCCTCCCCCGCCCCCTCCCTCCGCCTCTACCGGCCGCGCCCTGCCGCTTCCTCCCCCCGCCACCACCAGGCTGCTCGGAGTGTGTGTCAGCCGATGCGGCTTGCGGGGTGGAATGGGCAGATACACTGCATGAAGCTGCTGCTGCTGCCACTGCTGATGGTAGCAGGGAGCCATCGCCACTGCCGCCACCAGGGTCAGTGCCTGGGGCTGAGGTACCGCCAGGTGTCAGACGCCCATTGGAAGCAGGGAGGGAGGGCAGCAGAAATGCGGACGAAGGGCGTGCCAGAGAGGGCGGTGGCGGTGTGGCGGTGGAGCGAGGAGGAGGAGTGGACGAGTGGCGAGGCGGGGCGAGGAGGATGGACCTCAGCTGCAGGCAGAGGGCGGGGAGAGGACGTAAGGAAGGCTTGGGTGTGCGGTGCAGGTGGGGCAGGGGAGTGTGGAGTAAGCAGCGTAAGCAAGGACATGTGAGGCCAAAGAGATGTGAAAATGTGGGATTAGATGGGATGGCGGTGCACCTCATGAGGTGGATACATGCATGCTGTGTGGCGTGGTGGGGCATGGTGGTGACGGTGAGCTGCCTGCACTGGCGGCCATGGCTGGCAGGCCAGCCCGGAAAGGGCAGAGGGACTCACAGCAGGCGGGGCAGAGGGACTCACAGCAGGGGGGGCAGAGGGACTCACAGCAGGGGGGGCAGAGGGACTCACAGCAGGGGGGGCAGAGGGACTCACAGCAGGGGGGGCAGAGGGACTCACAGCAGGGGGGGCAGTGGGACTCACAGCAGGGGGGGCAGTGGGACTCACAGCAGGGGGGGCAGTGGGACTCACAGCAGGGGGGGCAGTGGGACTCACAGCAGGGGGGGCAGAGGGACTCACAGCAGGGGGGGCAGTGGGACTCACAGCAGGGGGGGCAGAGGGACTCACAGCAGGGGGGGCAGTGGGACTCACAGCAGGGGGGGCAGTGGGACTCACAGCAGGGGGGGCAGTGGGACTCGCAGCAGGGGGGGCAGAGGGACTCACAGCAGGGGGGGCAGTGGGACTCACAGCAGGGGGGACAGAGGGACTCACAGCAGGGGGGGCAGAGGGACTCACAGCAGGGGGGGCAGAGGGACTCACAGCAGGGGGGGCAGAGGGACTCACAGCAGGGGGGGCAGTGGGACTCACAGCAGGGGGGGCAGAGGGACTCACAGCAGGGGGGGCAGTGGGACTCACAGCAGGGGGGGCAGAGGGACTCACAGCAGGGGGGGCAGTGGGACTCACAGCAGGCGGGGCGAGCAGCACACCGGAGAGCGTGTGGGCGCCGACCTGCGCTGCGAGCGTGACACCGCCGTCAAACACCCCGTCCACGCGCACTGCCAGTGATGCCCCGGGCTGGCCAGCACAGCAGAGGAGAGGACAGGGCAAGTGGCAGTGGTGGAAGGCCGTGAGCACAGGAGGGCAGCACAGGAGCGAGTGGGATGGTGGAGGTGCACTATCTGCCATGGGATGGTGGAGGTGCACTATCTGCCATGGGATGGTGGAGGTGCACTATCTGCCATGGGATGGTGGAGGTGCACTATCTGCCATGGGATGGTGGAGGTGCACTATCTGCCATGGGATGGTGGAGGTGCACTATCTGCCATGGGATGGTGGAGGTGCACTATCTGCCATGGGATGGTGGAGGTGCACTATCTGCCATGGGATGGTGGAGGTGCACTATCTGCCATGGGATGGTGGAGGTGCACTATCTGCCATGGGATGGTGGAGGTGCACTATCTGCCATGGGATGGTGGAGGTGCACTATCTGCCATGGGATGGTGGAGGTGCACTATCTGCCATGGGATGGTGGAGGTGCACTATCTGCCATGGGATGGTGGACGTGCACTATCTGCCATGGGATGGTGGAGGTGCACTATCTGCCATGGGATGGTGGACGTGCACTATCTGCCATGGGATGGTGGAGGTGCACTATCTGCCATGGGATGGTGGAGGTGCACTATCTGCCATGGGATGGTGGAGGTGCACTATCTGCCATGGGATGGTGGAGGTGCACTATCTGCCATCCATCCAACGGCCACGCCATTGAGTGGAACGCAAGGGCAGGCAGAGGCTCACAGGGCAGGCAGAGGCTCACAGGGCAGGCAGAGGCTCACAGGGCAGGCAGAGGCTCACAGGGCAGCGCACGACACGGCCGATGCCGAGGTGCAGCAGGTGCGCGTGGGCAGTGCCGCCCTCTCCGCCCTGCACCCCGCCACCCCCGCCTCCCATCCCCGCCTCCATCGCCACCCCGCCACCTCCGCCTCCCTCCCCACCACCCTTGCATGCCTCACCCCTGCCATCCCCCCTCGCCCCCTCCCCTCCCCTTTGCTGCTTTGCTGCGCTGTGCGACTGGGCATGGCCCACGGGGCGGCCGTGCAGCGCAATGAGGGGCCGCGCTGCCAGGGACGACGGCACGGCGAGGTGCTGCCTGGGAGGGGCGGCCTCTGACACACGGGGCTGCTGCGGGGCAGAGGAGGGTGTGGCGTGGAGGGCAGGCAGCATGGAGAGAGGGAGAGTGGCAGGAATGACAGCAGCGGCATCTGCAGCACCAAGAACATTCCCTTGCTGCCATGTCATGCCACACGGCTGCTGCCATGCAGGCAGCGACACATGCCCCTCGTGAGCAGCAGCAGAAGGACAGGCAGCGGGCAGAGTTCCATGCGCCATGTCATGGTGGAATGGTGACAACTCCACCGCGCCCCTCCCTGCCGCCGCGCTCATCCCGCGCACCTCACTGCCCCGTGCCATGCCTCCACTGGCTGCTCGTTTCGGCTGCAGCTTGGGCCGACTGCCACCACTCAAGGTGGCGCCACCTATTGTGCCTGCACCTTCTCTTCCCATGTCTGCCTCCGCTGCCCCCTCCTCTTCACCACCATCCCCATCCGTACCAGGACTGTCTACCACCGTACTGCCTGTTCTCTTCGCTTCACCCCCGTCCACCTCCCCCCCTCCGCCGGTGTGCCGGGCTTGCAGCGCTGCGCTCACCATGCGCTCGCCCGCCTCCGACACCACGTAGCGCCGCGGCCGCCCCCTCGCCCTTCCCTGCTGTCCCCTCTCTGCTGCTGCACCTCGCGCTTGTGCTGCTTGGTCGATGCTCTGCCCACCCCTTGAGATGGAGGCAGGAATCAGGTGCAGAAGGGAGGTACCGCGGATGGTGGCTGCTGGCTGTGACGTGCAGGGCGCATCTGAAGGCGGGAGGTTAGGAAGCGTAACAGGAGAGGATGGGTGGGGTTGGGGGGAGAGATGAAAGGAGCAGGGGTGAGTGAGGGCGGATGGGTTCCATGGATGGGCGGATGGGTTCCATGGATGGGCGGATGGGTTCCATGGATGGGCGGATGGGTTCCATGGATGGGCGGATGGGTTCCATGGATGGGCGGATGGGTTCCATGGATGGGAGACGGAGAGCCTGGTGATGGCGGGCGGACACATGCGAGGACAGATGCGACAGCAGGCGCTGCGAGTGCACAAGGTGCTGTCAAGTCAAGTCATCTGCCTGCAGCGGTACGACTCGAAATGCCCAAGTGGGAAACCTGGGAATGACAACACAAGAGGATGTGTGCGGCTTGGCTTTGTGAAGGCTTTCAGCTGAACGTAAGTACTAAGTGGGCAAGCGATGGAAAGCAAGTGCTGATGAATGAAGCAGCACAGACTTGGACACACGACACGTGCACAGCCATGACAATAATGTGAGGCAACACACATCCATCCACCCATACTGAGTTCCTCGTACCAACCCCTCCCCACGGAGACCGCTCACCGTCGTTGAGAATGCCCGCCAGCTCGTCAAGAAAGCTCCTGTCTTCGCCTATCCGCTGCCTGCCCACCTCCGCCTCCTCCTCCCCTCCTCCCTCCCACACCGCCCTCCACTCCATCGCCTCTCCTCCCTCCCGCCACCTCCCCTCTGCCATCCTCCCCTGCTCTTCCACGCCCATAGCTCTGTCTCCTTGCTCCACCGCCCCTGCCCCGTTGCCCTTCTCCTCCTCGCGCCCCGTGCGCGCAGCAGCAGGGGCGGGCAGAGAGGCGGAGGAGAGGGGGCGCGCACAGCGAGGGGAAGGACTGGCGGCCTGGCGGGGTGGCGGGGAGGGGGAAAGGAGTGGAAAGCGAGGAGGGAGGAGGATGGGGAATGCATGGTAGAGGGTAGAGGGTGGGGAGAGGAGGATGCAGTAGGGAGGATGAGTGAATGTGGAGGAGAAATGAAGAAACGTGCACCCTGTGGTGAGATGGCAGACGGCAATGCAGGAGGGCATGCCTGGGTTGAAATGGTCACCTCACACATGCCATGCCATGCATTGCAGGTGCAGGCGAGGGTGGGTGCTCACAGGGCATTGCAGGTGCAGGCGAGGGTGGGTGCTCACAGGGCATTGCAGGTGCAGGCGAGGGTGGGTGCTCACAGGGCATTGCAGGTGCAGGCGAGGGTGGGTGCTCACAGGGCATTGCAGGTGCAGGCGAGGGTGGGTGCTCACAGGGCATTGCAGGTGCAGGCGAGGGTGGGTGCTCACAGGGCATTGCAGGTGCAGCAGCATGACGTCGCTGCACGGCTGCTCGTCGCGCCCACAGCTGCGGGGAGAGCACAGCGCAGGCATGGGAAGGATGAGAGCACAGCGCAGGCATGGGAAGGATGAGAGCACAGCGCAGGCATGGGAAGGATGAGAGCACAGCGCAGGCATGGGAAGGATGAGAGCACAGCGCAGGCATGGGAAGGATGAGAGCACAGCGCAGGCATGGGAAGGATGAGAGCACAGCGCAGGCATGGGAAGGATGAGAGCACAGCGCAGGCATGGGAAGGATGAGAGCACAGCGCAGGCATGGGAAGGATGAGAGCACAGCGCAGGCATGGGAAGGATGAGAGCACAGCGCAGGCATGGGAAGGATGAGAGCACAGCGCAGGCATGGGAAGGATGAGAGCACAGCGCAGGCATGGGAAGGATGAGAGGAGAGGATGGGCGTGGGGAGGGTGGGAGGCGGGAACGGGCATGGAGTGTGAAAGCAAGAAGATCACAGTGAGCACAGCACTCCATCAATTCCCTCCCTACTTTCCATTCCCTGCTTCTCCCCAATCCCCCCTTCCCCCTTCCCCCTCCCCCCTTCCCCTTCCCCCCTCCCCCCTTCCCCACTCCCCTCCGCCCCGCGTCCAGCTTACCCGCCAAAGAGTGCGACGGTGCAGCCGTCGGGCAGCAGGGTGGCCGAGTGGGAGAAGCACGCCCGCGGCTGCTGCCCCTCCTCCTCCCCCGCGGCCCATGCCTCCGCTGCTGCTGCCGACGCTTCCTCTGCTTCCAGGTGCTCCACCATCGACTTGTCCGATGCCAGCATGGCAGGACCGGCTGTTATTGGTGGATGCAGCTGGTGCCACGTGGCAGAGGGCAGGTCAAAGAGCCACGTGTCACTGAAGTAGCCACCGTCGCCCACCCCTCCCAGCAGCAGCATCTGCACGGGCAGAGGAGAGGTGGACGGAAGGGAGAGACAGGGGACATGCAAGGTGGGGGAGAAGAGAAGAGGAGAGAAGAAAAGAGGAGAGAAGAGAAGCGGAGAGAAGAGAAGAGGAGAGGAGAGATAAGTAGGGATGCTTGGGTTGGGTGGACTCGTCATGGTACGGTTCATGGCGGCCTCACCCGCTTGGGCTGGCGCATGCCACATGTGGCGCAGTGGATGGGCAAGAAGCGTGTGTGGCTAGCGTATGTGCCACTTGTTGCCCACAACACACCGTACCCACCTGCCAGGCCGTGACGGCCACCGCACTGTGGGCTGCCCTTGGCGCCGGCCACTGCGCTCCCGCCGGTGCTGGTATCTGCAAGGGAGGGAGTGTATGCGGGGGAGGGAGTGCATAGAAGGTGGGGGAAGAGAGAAAGGTGTTGGGGGTGTTTGTGCGGGCGTTTGGAGAATAGAATGAAGTCCAAAATAGTAAGCAGAGCATCAACAGAACTCTCCTCATACTAACCCCTCAATCTCCGCCTTTATTCCTCCGGCCCACAGCTACCCCCACGTATACCACCCCCACCCCACCACTGATATGCTCCACGGGTAACCTCTCACAGCACACCCCCCCACCCACAGCACACCCCCTCACAGCACACCCCCTCACACCCGTTGCCCAATGGGTACGCACGTGGCACCAGGAGAGGGGGTGGACGTGCAGCAGGTGCAGGTCGCCGAGGTAGCGCGCGCCACAGTCGCCGCCGAACACCACCGCCACCTGCTGCTCGCGCGCCCCGCCCATCACCACCATGCTGTGGCTGTCGCGCGCACAGGGGGGGCACTCCCCTGCCTTGCCACGTGGCACGCGGGTGGCGGGCGGCAGTGTGAGCGGTGCATGGAGGCAGCGCCACGTCATGGAGGGCACGTCCAGCGCCCACAGGTCGTTCAGGTACCGCCCCTTGCCGCCCCCCTCGCTCATGCTGCCTCCCTCTCCTCCCCCGTCTCTCTGCTCCCCTCCTCTCCACCCGTCCATGCCTTCCTTACCATCCGCACCATCGCCGCCCTCCTCATCCCCACTGCCGCCAAACACCAGCACAGTCTCTCGCCACTCCACCGCATCCCCTCCTCCTTCCTCCTCCACCCCCTTACACCGTGGCAGCCACACAACCGCTGCCGCGTGGCTCTCCCTGGCAGGGGGATGCGCAGCAGCAAGCGCGCTCGGATCATGCCACGAGCCAGGCTGCACGGGACCCACCCGCCCGCAAGGTGTGCCCAGGCTGCTGCCATGCATGTCCGTGTCGCCGCCACTGCCCCGCCACGTGCCCCACACCAGCCCCTCGCCCCTCTCCCCTTCACCTCCGTGCCACACCACCACGCTGCTGCTCGACACGTGCGACCCGTCGCTGCCCCGCCTCTCCACCTGCCGCCTCCTTCCCTCTGCCCCCCTCCCCCCCTGCCTCGCTGTCACCCCCGCCTCGTCCACGCAGCTCACACCACTCTCCACCTCCCCAGCCCCCTGCTGCCCTCTCTCGCCGCCTTCTCGCACCTCACTCCCCTCCACTCCCCCCTCCTCGATCGCACCACCCACCTCACTCACACTCCCACCCAGCACACAGCGCGCACTCCTCTCCCCTGCCGCCCCTCCCCCCACGCGTTGCCACCGCTTGGAGGGCAGGTGCAGCAGGTGTGTGGCGGCGAGGCGGCGGCGGCCGTCGGTGCCGCCGAAGACGAGCATGCGGCCGCGGGAGAGCAGCGAGGCGGAGTGGCAGTCGCAGGGCGGCGGCAGATGGCCGTGCGCCGACAGGGGCGCCCAGGCGAGCGTGGTGAGGTCGAGCGACAGCACGGTGGAGAAGTGCTGCGCTCCGAAACAGCCCTGCAGGCGCGCGCAGGGGAGGGGCGAGAAGGGAGGGGCCTTAGAAGGATAGAGATTGGGAGGGTGCGTTGGGCGCACGGAACGGAAGCAGCAGGTCCACACGGCATGGGTGTGGCGTCAACTGCGCATCGTCGCCACGCTACCACCCATCCCTCCCTCACTCTCACTTTGGGCCACCGAAACCCCTTTCACTCAAGCCTACCCGTCTCACCCGGACGGACCTACGCCCTGCACGTCAGCGCGCACACCTCAACGCACGCAGCGGCGGCAACACATGCTGCCACGGCAAACTCTCCACTGCCACTGCAGCACGGCTTCTCACCTCCACTCGCCCGCGTGCCTCCGCTCACCCCGAACACGATCAGCTTGCCATCCCACGCCACGGCGGAGTGCCCCCATCGCTCCTGCGGCCGCGCCCCCGCCACCGCCGCCTCGCGCCATCGCGCGCGCCACCGCCACCGCCGCTCGCCCGCGCGCCGCCCGCCTGCCCCCTCACTCTCGTGCCCGCCATCTTCGATGGCACGAAGCGGGCGGCAGAGGGCGGATGTGGACGGGGGACTGTCGGGCGACATGTCGTTGGCGCGCGACCGATGCGACTAGGCCACGCCGCATGCGGCACGAGCGTGGTGCGAGCGAGAGAAGGGAGGAGAGGGGAACGAGTGGTGCTGGAACGGAGAAGAAATGAGGAAAGCAGCAACTTGGCGTCAGCGAAACAATGATATCGGCTGTCTCTGCCACAATATCTGCTGCCGTGTGGGCAGTGGCCCTGCGAACGGCGACGCGGGAGGAGCATAAGAGCGGTTTGAGCCATCGCGATGGCGGCGTATCCAAACCGGTGGAGCAGGCCAGGCAGCGAATGAGAGCCTGGCAGGTGGCGGTTCCGACACGCGTGCAAGCAGGCGGTGAGACGATCGTCCCTAGAATATGACGTGACCAGCGACAGGCAGCAGATGCTAGTGTCATGGGAAAACGCTCTGGTCATTTCGCCTCGAATTTCGCGACTTAATGGGATGGATGGCACTTGATTTGAAGCGATTTCAAAACGTGTGTGGAAATGACGTAAGCTGTAACCTTTTTCATAGAAGAACAACTCACCTTTTTTTGTTATGAGTGTGAGGGTTTCACAAACTAGCTCGAAACCACTCAAGGTTGGAATTTGTAAGGAATTTTCTCGCCATTCCTTAGCGCGCCCTACAACATCGCGTACAGCAGCAGCCGTTGTTCGCCCCTTACTGCTAACGGGACTTCACCGACTTCGCGCGCACTGTTTCACCAAACCTCGCACTGCTGGCCCAGCCGTGTCAGCCTACGCTTCGGGACGAGCCCGAGCCTCGATGCCAGCGTAGCACTAGCTAGCTCACACGCACCGCGTTACCGTTTGCATGTTTCGCGTATAAATGGTCGCTCATGCCTTCGCTCACATTTGGTACTCGTTTGACACCTTAGTGCAATCCTTGCTACCTCGATTCATTGCACCCGTAACAGAATTACAAACGAGGATAAAATAGGCAGAAACAGGCTAGGCGATGACGGCTTAAGAAGGCTCTCTCTAGGTTCTGAACCAGGGCTGATTTTATCAGGGTAATTACCCTGATTTCAGGGTGATTTCAGACTTGTCACTTTCTGGACCCCGAGGGTACATTCCGCTGTGGACCATGTCCCAATTGATGTGTCCCAATCGATTGGGACGCGTACGTACAGCATATCCTGCCAGGTGTCAGAATGCCGGGCCGCCCGTCGTTGTCGCCAAATGTATTTATCATTGGGTGATGTGAAACACGGAACATTCGCCAGCTAATTGCAACACACCCCAGCAGTCGCACGCGGTGCCAAATGTCAACTCATGTAGCATGTATCTGGACCACATTGGAAAAACCCCCTAATCCCCAACAACGCGTACACAGCTTCGTGATTGGTCGATTGGACACTCCCGGAATTATTGACAGGCGTCGGTGAATGTGCTGCGCAAGGACGAGTGGGTCAAATTGTTCTCTGACCAATCACAGTCGATCGCATGTAATTGTCGCGCGTCTGTGCAGAGTCGCAATACATCGATCGATTGGTACATGCAGACTCGAAACATTTGAGCGCGACTCGGGCTAAAATCGATTGGGACATATCGATTGGGACATGGTCCACAGCGGAATGTACCCTGAGAAATCAGGTTTTTCACATTTTGGTCCCTGATCCATTCAGAGTATTGCTTTAGCGGACCCTGAAATTTTGTGTATACTCTCAGTGTAGGGTTTCCACGGACCCTGTCAATACAGAGTACGAGGCCTGTGGACCCTGAATGCGATGTTATCGGGACGAAGTTTCTCGGAAATTTCATCCTGATAACCTCGCCTTCTGATTGATTTCAGTGCCCCCCACGTGCGTAATCCCCCCCACCCCTCGCTTTATCGAGACGAAGTTTCTTTGAAGTTTCGTTCCCATACACCCATCATCGAGATCGGGCGAATCTATAATGTCAGATTTTAGGTTGCTGTTATTGGCTGCGTTCTGTGGGCGCATCAGCTCTGATGCGTCTGAGGCTCGGGCTGATGCGCACATTGAGAAATTGAGGTTCGGAACTGACAAAATTGAAATCGATAAATTAAGGTTCGGACGAGGTTCGGACAAGGTCCCCAAAATCTCTTATTTTCAATTTTCCGAATCTCGTCCGAACCTCGAATTTGGACATGTCAGATCTCGATATCCAATTTCCTCAATTTTCCAAAAATTTATGGGTTTCTAGGAAGTTAGACCGCAAAATTTTTAATGGTGCCAACCAATGAGGGTTTAGGAAGAAACAAATTGACGAATGAGGGTGCTCCGCACCAGCTGTGCGCGCATCATGCGACTTCTCGGAGTTGCATGATGCGCGGATCAATGATGCGCCAGATTTCTAGGACGATAAATTTCTCGTAAATCGGTGACATGTTAAATTTTGGTCGCCGAAAAGGCCGTTCTGCAGGCATTCGGATTTGTTTCGCTTCGGCAGCCATGCGCTTATCGCGAACCTTGATAACCTGTCGGCAGTTATCACGGAAGTATCTTGGAACCGTGGTAGAATGCATCAATGTACATGGATGCGGGCTGATGCGCCCACAGAACGCAGCCATTGGTTGAAGTAGTTGTGCTCTGACACACCGCCAGTCACATCGCGAGTCACATCGCCACAGTGCCAGTCACATCGCCACAGTGCCAGTCACATTGCCAGTCATATCGCAAGTCACAGCGCGCCAGTCACAGCGCCAGTCACAGTCACCCTTGCGACACCAACAGCAGATTCGACCTCTGCTCCGTACAGAAATCCCTTTTGCGCTAGGTCAAGGCAGATTCTGCCTGAAATCCCCGTAGACTGTCAAATTTTGAGCAGATGTTGCGATTAGGGTAAAGAATGAGACTTCTGATTGAGTGAGACTTCTGTCCCCGGTAAAAAAAGAGCGCGTTACTACGACCCTGATTTTCAATTCTCGACCCTGAACATTCAGAGTTCACTACTTCTCAACCCTGAGCAATCAGGGTGCTGTTTTTCTGGAACATGTGCCTTCAGGGTTTTTTTTTTTTTTTTGGTTGAACTCAGGGTACCTAAATTTGAAACGTCAGCCCTGTTCTGAACCCGCCCAATGCGTCAGAATGTAAGGAATATTCATTTTCCTTACTTCGCGTCCCTACTCAGCGCGTACACCACTGTTCCCGCCAACAGCACCCAACAGTAATCCGTTACCACTCGCGACACTCGCCTCGACACTATTCCTGCCAATGTTCACGACGCGACCCAACCTCACGGTTCGGTTGGTAATCCGCGCTCCGGACCTCCGCCTCGACAATTCCCGACCTCGGCGCTAGGCCCGTCGCGCACCCCATTTTCCACACATTACCGTTACCACTGTAGTTTCACTATATATTATTCGCTCATGCCTTCGCTCATACTATTCTTGCTTCGATAGTGCAATTCTCGCTCGCTCACTCAATTGCACTCGTAATACTTGGTATTCAGAGCCTACGATCTCTTCTCGGACCGCACCCACACCTTCGCTTCCCCACTATCTCAAAATTTGGAGGGGGTAGACGTCTTTCAGCGAAACAAGCACTGCCGTTCGAAGTGCTCTCTCGTAAGCACGCACGGCCACGACAGAGGCTCTCGATGAGCTTGCCCGACACCCCCGCCATTGTCAGAATATTATGTTTCTCTAGTCTGCAGTGGGGTACTCTATAGTGAGTACAGCCCTTTTAGGGTTTGCTATATGTATCCCAATGTTTGCTAGTGAACCCTTCCTCTTCTCTCATTCACTTCCTCGTTATTCTCACATGGTATAGAGCTGTCTCGATCCTTGGGCCCACCACTGAAAAATTTTTTCCTACCCGAGGCGCGCGTCGCGCCTGCCCTTAACGGCCCTTAGCGGCCCCTCGTAAGGCCCTTCGCGGCCCCTCGTTAGGCCCCCCTTCGCGGCCCCTCGTAAGGCCCCTTCGCGGCCCCTCGTAAGGCCCCTTCGCGGCCCCTCGTAAGGCCCCTTCGCGGCCCCTCGTTAGGCCCCTTCGCGGCCCCTCGTAAGGCCCCTTCGCGGCCCCTCGTTAGGCCCCCCTCGCGGCCCCTCGTACGGCCCTTCGCGGCCCCTCGTACGGCCCTTCGCGGCCCCTCGTACGGCCCTTCGCGGCCCCTCGTACGGCCCTTCGCGGCCCCCCGTAAGGCCCTGTCGCGGCCCCTCGTCGCGGCCCCTCGTCGCGGCCCCCCGTCGCGGCCCCCCGTATCGGCCCCGTCGCCCGGCGTCGCCCCTGTCCCGGACCTGTCGCGGCCCTGCCCCGACCCTATCGCGGCCCTATCGCGGCCCTGCCCCTGCCATGCCCCGACCCTGCCCAGGCCCCGCCCTCCTCATGCCTGTCGTGGCGCACCAGGGGCCCGTGCACCGCCCCCCCCCCCCGCGGCCCCCCCCCCCCCGCTCGCCACGCAAGGCGACGGGAGGGGCGACCTGGGGGGACGCGCGTCGCCCCTTCTTCCGCCTGCTCTGGCGCCCTGGGAGGCCGCGCGTCGGCCCCCGTACTCCTCCCCCCCCCCCCCCCTCAGGTCGCCTCAACAGGCGACGGGAGGGGCGACCTGGGGGGGGCCGTGCGTCGGAGCAGCCGCCCCTGGTGCAGCCGCCTCTGGCCCCTGGAGCAGCCGCCCCTGGCCCCTGGAGCAGCCGCCCCTGGTGCAGCCGCCCCTGTACCTCAGCAGCCGCCCCTGGCCCCTGGAGCAGCCGCCCCTGGACCCCGCGACGCCGCCCCTGGACCCGGTGCCGCCGCCTCCCTGTGCTGCCCATTGCCGCCCGTTGCTGCCCGTTGCTGCTCTCCCCCCCCCCCCCCCCCCCCCCCTTCTTCGTCAGCCTGCTGCGCGTGCAGCCGTGGAATGGAGGGTATGGGGGTGGCGGGTATGGGGGTGACGGATGGTATGTTTCCCTTCCCCTCATCCTCCTTTGTCTCCCACTGCTGCAGCTGCCGCTGAGGGGGGTGGATGTGTGGGAGCCAAAGGCGTGGTGCTAGGGGGTGGGGTGTGAGTGAACCTAGGGGTGCAGTAGGGGGTGTGTGAAATGGGGGTGGGATAGTTTGG